CGTAGTGCGCTTTCTGGACTGCAACTTCCTGCTCCAGTATGTCGCATTGCCTCGTGAATATGGTGCACTGCCGCTTGCTGTGCGATTCGATCGCCGACGACATCAGTTCGCCATGGCGGTCCATGACATCAGCAATCGACTTGACGCGCATTTTTCCGCTTCCCGCCCCCAGCCCCGCTGGCTGCGTTGTTGTCGGAGTCCCTCGTAGTAGAACGTTCTTCAGGGAAGCCTTCACCAGCGCCCTCACTACCAACAGACTCCCCAGCACCCGCTCCTCGCCTAGGCAGCTGCACCCCGTCCGGACTTCCGGTGTCGGCGATGTTGGGAGGGAAAATTGTGTGGTTGCCCACCATGCCTGCATGGATCTCGTTGTACAGCGCCCTCTCCATCCGGAACTTGAAGTTGTGCTCCTTCCTTTCTTCATTCGAAAGTCGGAAGAAATCTGGCCGGCCACTCGCATTCTGAAACCTTTGTACCTTCTTGTAGTTTTGGAAGATGTTGTCCCACTTCTTCATGCAGTCCTCCGCGTCTTTAGGCCTCCCCGCGTTCACCATGTGTTTGGCAATGTCGTCCCACTTCCACTCCTTGGTCCGCATCCGCCCGTAATTGTGACCGAGACCGGCGAGGTGCATCTCTTGCTCCCGCTTGCATCTCACCAGTTGCATTTGCTCTTCCGGGGACCAGTACGTCGCAGACTTCACGCCATCGTCGCTGACGCCACCTCTGCCCCCACGGCCAACGGATCGACCACGAACAACACCCCTGCTGCGTCCTCTCCCCCTCCCACCCGTCTTCCCCAAGTCGTCGTCGTCCCCTGCCTCCACGTCCTCCCCGAATCGTTTGTCGGCATCGTCACCGCCACCACCATTGTCATCGCCGCCATTGTTGTGTGCCCGCATGTTTGACACTCCTTGTGTGATGTTCTCCACACTGAGTGCTGGACGCACCGCTGGTCAGGACGTGTCGTCGTCCGTGAGGTCGGGTTGGGCCGGCGTTGTGGTTTTGGGCGTCGAATGAAGTGTACCGCCGATGCGCAAGGACCCGACTACGACTCCATGGCGTGCGGGGCAGGTGCTTATCAATCGATTGGCGGACGCTGCACTCAATCCATGTTGCCAGCCTGATGCCGATGGCCCAACACCGCCAGTAACGGACGCATCGCCACGAAGTGTGGACTGCTCTGTATGGCGACTTCCAGATTGTTGAACGCCACGTGGTGAAGGATCGGCGTCGATGATAAATGTGCGGCTCGGCTCCCTACCGCTGCCAGAACACAACCCGAACCGAAGATCAACTCCCCCGCCATCGTCGTCTCCCAAGCCCTGCTGCAGAAGTGTCGTGTACTCGCCGCGTCCGTTGCTTGCCGACCCACCTGCGAGCACCGTCTGCAACAACAGCTGTGTCGACCCGCTGCCGAGAGGAAACGTTGGAAGTTCATCCCCCTCCGGCTCCGCGTCCGAGGGAGGCAGCGGCGTCTCCCACGACGGCGGATGGTTGTACATGGACGGGTCGTTCCGCTGTGAAGGCTCCGTCGTCGCAGGTTTTCTTCCGCCCTCAGCTGCAGGCAGAACAGCGCGTGCCTGCATGCCCGCCATGGGACGTCCCTCTTGAAGCACAGCGCCTTTCGTTGACGCCCTGCGCTTGCGACGTTGCTTCCACGGCCGGCACGACAAGCACACGTGGAGGAAGACGGCAAAGACGAAGACGACCACAACGAGAAGCAGCAGAGGCAATCTTCCCTGCATGTCTGCCATGAATCCGACGTGGACGGGCGACCTTGCATGTGACGTCCTGCTCAACTTTCTCCTCACAAGCCCGCGGACAAGGCCGCTGGACCTTCATATGTCGTCGACCGGCAGCGAAGAAGACAAACGTTCGCGCCTGCGATTCAAAAACCAACCGTTGCCGCCCACGCCGCCTCCGTGTGTCGTCGTGCGCACGTCTGGGGACTCCTCCGTTGCCCGCATTCGAGCCAACGGTGCGCAACGGCTGCCCGCCAGGCCACGCTTCGCCCCGCGCGCTCCACCCCACCGGCCAACGGCTACCGCTGGGGGCCGTTGCCGTCGTCGACCTGCAGAAAACCTTCGATGTCCGCCCACCGACCCGACGGACCTCTCCTGGACCAGCGCCTCCGTGTCGACGGTGCCATTCTCGCGACACGGCGACTCCGTGAAACGCGGGAGTCCTAAATTCTTCAGTAGGTCCGGGGCTACTGGAAAATTTAGGACGATTTGGCTGGGGAATCCTAAATCTTTTAGGACGAGTCCTAACGCCGTTTTCACATTTTCGATTCCCACGTCCGATTTAGGATTGCGTGCAACCAAGACGCAATCCTAAAAACAGGAACTTTTAGGAGTGTCTAACGAGACCCTTAGGACGCGGTGTAACGATGCCGATTTCCTAAAAATCGGATTTCCAAGGAGGGTCTAACGAGGCCCTCGTTGTCAAAAAAAAAAAAAAAAAGGATGGAAGAAGATCAGGGAAATCTGAAAGAGAGCGGAGTGGTATGGAGGGGTCCAAGTTTGACCAGGCATGGAAAACAAGATTATTATAATCCCTTCGTAAGTCCCCATGGTCACCCCCCTGACCCCTATTCCACTGTATTTTCCCCAGCATCGCTCCACTACTCTGGAGATACAAAATTTCGGGAGCACCGTGTTGCTCCACGTACTCTGAAAAAGGGGTGGCAAAAACCCCTTGGAGAGATGTCAGATGGACTCCCGAAATGTTGACAGTTCATTGTAGCTCCGCCTACTATCGAAATTGACCGTCAAAATCTGGGGTTAAGAGCCATCAGAAGAAATTAATCTGTTTTGCGAGTGCTCTTCAAAAGTCGAGAGCCCCCACCTCCGACGAGGACGGTTTTTGCCACCAACTTTAAGAGTCGGTGTTGAGTTCAGGCAGACAGCTAGCTGGAACTTGTATGTTTGCGCTCTGAGACTCAGAGGACTCTCCTTTTAGAGTCCTTCAAGAGTAACTGTTGCGGTCTCTTGGCCCGGACATCCCATGGACCTGCACTCTCGGATGGCATGGTGGCTGTTCCATGCGGTGGGCGGATCCGGTGCAGAGGTTGGCAGAATCGGCCCCAGGCACTTGGACCTCTGGGCGGACCTCCAGGAGCAAGCCTGCTTTGTTGCCTTGCCACACCACTCTTGAAACCTCATTTTCAAGAGTTGCTGCATCGCCACACACTGGCAGCCTCTTGAAACTTGGGGCAGTCAAGACCATTCAGAGTGAAATCCTTTCAAGAGCGGCTCTTGAAAGATTGGAAACCCCAGCCAGAGCCTGCAACTCGTGCGTTTTTCAAGCGTCCTTGGCCGAACCCTTGAGGGACTTTCAATCTTTCAAGAGTTGTCAGTCAGGTCATTGGGCCTCGCTGCACTACTCTTGAAATGCACAAAAGGCAAAAATCATGGCCGTGCATTTTTCCATATTCTAGCGGAAGATTCACTGAGTCTCTCGTTTTGCACATTTCGAGAGTAGTGCAGCGAGGCCCATTGCCATTCGGAAAAAACACGAAGCTCTTTTTTTTTTTTTTTTTTTTTAGAGAACAACCCGTTCAGGTGCTAGATGTGCTGATAAGAGCAGGCACGTCTAGCACCATCGGGGAGGCTCCATCTATTGGTGGGGAGCAGCACCTGCTGGAAACCGGGTCCAGCGTCCCATTGATACATCTTGCGACACAGAAAAACACTGATTATTGATCCTCAGGGCTGCGGCCAAATGAATGTCCGCTCGGGGCTCATCTTGTTCTTGATAATAAATGATTGATATACTCCAAACAAACAAAAAAAAAAAAAAAAAAAAAAAAAGCTGTATGAATGTGGTTTTTCATCCTCTGTCCAACAGCATTGCCCTTTCTAGAGTGCTGTGTGGCGAGGGGCCGAAAACTCTTGAAAACCCAACTCTTGAGAACGTCTGACAGCTCTTGAAAAATTTCCCCGTTTCAATAGCGGTGTGGCGAGGCCCTTGCAAGGGCATGTTTCCCCCCACTCATTCCCTGACATGCGGAAGACCGTACGCTTTGCAACTGCGCCTGACAGTGTACGGAAGAGCGCCCCAGATGGGAGCAACAACTGCATGATGTAACAATATGTGACACTGTACCTTTCTGTTTTTGCTGTGATGTCACAGTACTTGCTTGCGACACATTATTATTCATTTTGCAGTAACCCTGTTCAGCAGCAGACCGGGGCTCAGAACTTTGCCCCCGGTAAGACACAGACTCAGTTGTCTGTGCTGGGCTATGTGACCGAGACATGCCCAGCCTGAGTCTGTCGAGGAGGCTGTGTGACCAAACGCAGCACAAAGGAAATTCAACAGTCAAAGACAACTGTAGAGTCAAAGGTACCGCACCCAGGCCTATGGTCGGATACATTCACTTGTTGTGTGCAGGTACCCAGACAGCATTCCGGGCAGGAGAAATACAGTTTCTGGCCGATCTGGGCCCTCATTCATATCGAGATCTGGACGGTGCAGGACCTCAGTACCCGGGGTCCAGACCCCGCATCCACGCTATTTAAGAGTTGACTTCCTGGCTGGAGGACATTCAGTCTTGCGTGAATGCTGACTTCACGCGTGGACTTGACGCTGTTGCTATGCTGCGACATTGCGACATTGACTTGACGCCGGCCATATGCTGGCAGAGGAGGACGGCAAGGCGCTGCTGGCTGGCATGGTGCTGGCTGGCGATGGTCTTCTGGGCATGCTGACGTGGCAGCTGCCATGCGCCATTGCTGACGTGGCCGCTGCCACCTGTATATGTTGATGACGTGGCGGGCTACATGATTGGTGAGGCTGTTCTGATTCTTTGTCACTTCGGAAGGGGATCAAGACTGTGGTTATCGAGGATACGTACCTGGTTGATGACGATACTCTCCATTTGCTGATGTAGACAGACTGACGTGCCACATGGCACCTTGAGGAAGAACTTCAGACATTGTATTCAGTCTATTGATTGATGAGGTGGCGAGGAGGCTGTTGTCTTCTTCTCTCTCCTTTGTCTATTCTCCCTCTCTCCTCCTTCGTCTGTGTATGATTCTCACCTCATTCTATCATCACACGCATTTGCGATTATTTGTCATTCATCAGCAGATCGATAATCATATGGACTGGTAATGTTGACGAGTATCATCACATCTGGGTTCATTGCAATTTTCTTAAAAATTCTTTTGCTGTTTTCCGGTTTCATTTACAGTTGTGCTCCACCGAATTCCTTGGGAGAGGCGCATTCCTACCAGCCTTTCTTTTTTCTTTTTTTTTTTTTGGAAAGTTGCAGGCTTAGCCTGGGGTTTCCAATCTTTCAAGAGCTGCTCTTGAAAGGGGGTTTCAAGAGTCCGCCACTATGACTGCTCTTGACTGCCCTAATTTTCAAGAGGCTGTGTGGCCATGCAGCAACTTTTGAAACGAGTTTTCAAGAGTGGTGTGGCGAGGCCCTAAGTCTGTGGAACATGACCCTTAGTTTCAAAGAAGTGCTGCAGGCCCTCGCCACACCACTCTGGAAACTGCGTTTTCAAGAGTTGGACGCATAGCCACACAGCCATTTGAGAGTTGTAGCCCGAAAACTCTTTCGAGAGTTGTCAGAACCTCGTTTCAAGAGTAGCACTCGAAACTCCGAAACGCCCAGCCTGCAGCACCGCTCTTTTTAAGAGGGCACTCGAACGGCCCTCGATTTTCGAGAGGTGTCAGGCCGTTATCCTGACGCCATTCGGAAAAAACAAAGCTGTACGACTGTCTTTTTTCATCGTTTGTCCAACACCATAGCCCTTTCGAGAGTGCTTTGTGGCAAGGGGCCCGAAACTCTTGAAAACCCAACTCTTGAGAACGTCTAACAGCTCTTGAAAAAATTCCCCCTTTCAAGAGTGGTGTGGTGAGGCCCCCAGTGGGGGCATGGCTCCATTTTTTTTTATTTTTTTTATTTTTTTTTTGAGCAAGTACAGCATATCGCCTCTCCTAGCAAGGAGACCGGTYTTTCAAAAMAAAAAAAAAAAAAAAAAAAAAAAGTTTAAAAAACATAATTCACTCCGGTCCATGTCAGTATGAGAGACTGCCTCCTGTCAGTGCTCCTTTGCTGCCTTGTACCAATGTGCCCTGTTCGTTTGCCTTGAAATTGCCTTACTACCCCTGCTGTTTGGTATCGTTGGTGATAGTCCGACCAACAGGTCTCGCACAGGCACTGTCTGAGGACTTCCACTTGTGGTGCCGGTACAGAAGCACAAAAGACAATAATTATGGCTGTGTATATTTCCACGTTCTAGCCCAAGATTCATTGGGCCTGGCCACGTGACTGTCGAAAGAAAAAAATTGTGAGTACATGGTCCCACAAAGGGTGGCAGGATGCATGCATTTCGCTGCATTTCGTGGAAGGTGCCCATTCTCTTTTTTTTTTTTTTTTTTTCTGGGTGGACGACTCCACTCTATTGGTGGGGAGGGCCCATTCTTTTTCTTTCTTTTTTCTTTTTTTTTCTTTTTTTTTCTTTTTTCTTTTTTTTTTTCCTTTTCTTTTTTCCCATTCTCATTTTTCACATTTGGTGACTGGTGGAGTGCAGCCCATTTCTGATCCTGCCATGGTGGAGGGCAGCGCATAGTCACCCTCGGACAATTTTAAATCCGTTTTGTTTGTTTTTTTTTCGGT